CACGGTGAGGAAGATGCTCCAAGGGCTGGAGCACCTCAAAGTTTCCCAGGCAACATTCCATGTTCCTCAAAGGAATGTTTTGGGGTTTTTTTTCTCTACTTTAGGTCAATTTAATATTTTGATTTGGTGCTGGAGCAGCTCTTCCCATTGGGAATGAGCCAATGAGGTGATCCCAGGATTGGAGATTGGGAGAGTTGGGGAAGAGAAGGCTCCAGGGAGACCTGAGAGCCCTTTCCAAGGATCTAAAGGGGCTCCAGGAGAGCTGGAGAGGGACTTGGGACAAGGGATGGAGGGACAGGACACAGGGAATGACTTCCCAGTGCCAGAGGGAGGGTTGGAGGGGATACTGGGAAGGAATTCCTCCCTGGGAGGGTGGGGAGGGCTCCAATCCCCCTTCCTCCCTGGATCCAGAGCCGGGCAGGGAAGCTCCAACAAACTTCACTTTTGCCACTCAACAGGTCGAAGATTCCCAATTTCTGGGAACAACTTTGTGCTCAGCATCCTTTGGGAGCCCTTTCCAGGGCCTGAAGGGGCTCCAGGAGAGCTGGAGAGGGACTGGGGACAAGGGATGGAGGGACAGGACACAGGGAATGGCTTCCCACTGCCAGAGGGCAGGGCTGGATGGGATATTGGGAAGGAATTCCTCCCTGGGAGGGCTCCAATTCCCTTTCCTCCCTGGATCCAGAGCTGGGCAGGGAAGCTCCAACAAACTTCACTTTTGCCACTCAACAGGTCAAAGATTCCCAATTTCTGGGAATTGTGCTCAGCATCCTTTGGGAGAGTGAGCAAGGGCCTGGAGGGACAGGACACAGGGAATGGCTTCCCACTGCCAGAGGGAGGGTTGGATGGGATACTGGGAAGGAATTCCTCCCTGGCAGGGCAGGGAAGGGGCTGGGTTGGATTTCCCAGAGCAGCTGTGGGGAAGCATCCAAGGGCAAGGCCGGAGCCACCCGGGGACGGCGGGAGGTGTCCCCGGTGGGATTTCCATGGCTTTCCGAGCCAAACCATCCCGGGAATTCGGCCCCGGAGGTGGCAGGGACTCACCTGCGGGATGTTGACGAGCAGGCTGGCGTTGGGCACGTTGGCCACGCGGATCAGGCCCTGCTGGATGATCCTCTGGCCCTGGATCTGCACGCTGGGCACTGATGCCCGGGGTGCCAGGAGCAGCGGGGGCGGCCCCGTGCTGGAGTGCTGCCGGATCGTGTGGATTTGCTGTGGAATAGACGGGAACGGGATCAGCCTCCTCCCCTCCCGGAATAAAACCGGGGATGTGAGGGGGAGCTCGGCCACAAGGTCAAAAAAATCCTGAGTTTCCAAGTGAAACTCCTTCCCCAGGCTGGGGTTTTACACCTGTTTTGTTTAAAGGGTGTTAATCGGGGAAGTTGTTTCTCAGAATGTGGGGTTTTTCCCTCCTTAATCCTGGAAAACGTGACGGGAGGTGCTTGGACACGAGGCCACCACATTATGGCCCAAAAATCCTGAGTTTCTGAGCAAAACTCCTTCCACAGCCTCATTATGGCCCAAAATTCCTGAGTTTCTGAGTCAAATTCCTTCCACAGCCTCATTATGACCCAAAATTCCTGAGTTTTTGAATCAAACTCCTTCCACAACCTCATTACGACCCAAAATTCCCAAGTTTCTGAGTCAAACTCCTTCTACAACCTCATTATGGCCCAAAATTCCCAGGTTTCCCAGTCCAACTCCTTCCACAACCTCAGTAGGGCCCAAAATTCCCATGTTTCCGAGTCAAATTCCTTCCAGAACCAGTTTATGGCCCAAAATTCCCGAGTTTCCGAGTCAAGTTCCTTCCACAACCTCATTATGGCCCAAAATTCCCGAGTTTCCAAGTCAAACTCCTTCCCCAAGGTGGAGTTTGGAGCCTGTTTCATTTCAAAGCTGTTAATCAGGGAAGTTATAATTTTTTTCCCCTCCTTAACCCCATCACTGCAAAACAGTGGAATGAGAAAACAAAAAGGTGGGATGGAAAGCTGCTGGGAAGGTGGGGAAGGAATTCCCATGGATTAGGGAGCGAAGGATCGAGGCCAACACTCACCTGGGCCCCTCGGACCAGGGGGGGCATCACGATCTGCGTGTTCTGCTGAGTTCCCAGCTTGGAAGACGCCTGTTGCCCTCCCCTGACCAAGGGAGGAGGGATCACAGTGCCTGGTATCCGTGTGGAAGAGGTCTGGAAAAGAGGGAACAGTCACTCCTGGGCTGGAGGGATGGGTGGAGCGTGGAGGCAATGGAAAAGCTGGAGGTGGCCAGGCTGGGTTTGGTGCATTGAGCGTCCAAAAAAACCCCACAAAATCACCCCAACGATGGGAAAAGGAGCGTTGGGAAGGGGGGAAATGGGGAATACAGACTGCTGGGTTCAGGGAGAAGGTGGAGGAAGTGAGTGGATTGGGAAGGAAGAAAAAAAAGGCAGGAAAATGGGAAAGATTTAGGGAAAAAAATAATCACAGAAAGGAAAAGGAATCAGCCTAAAGGGGTTTCTGGGAATGTGCTGCCCGAGCTTGGCAACCCTCAAAACTCCTCCTGGTGCCAGGACAGGGGATGTGGGGACACGCCAGGGATGTTCCTGGGGACACCCAACACCCTCCAGGAGCCCGAGGGACTCCAACACTCCTCTCATCCCATTCCCGGGGCTTCCCACAGGTGCTGCTCCCCTCCTTCCCTCCTTCCCAACCTGAGCATCCTCCGGGAACGAAGAGCAGGGAATCTCCCTGGGAAGTTTTATCCCTTTCCAACTGAATCCCAAATGTTCCCTCAGCCCCTTCCCACAGGAATTAGCACCTTTTCCATTCCAGCAGAAGCAGAGGGGGGTTAATGCACCCAAACACCCCAAATTAGGCAGAACAAGCTCAGTTTTGGGATTTTTAGCTCCCAGGTCTCTGCTCTGTCCAAGTTTCCCTGGCTGAAGGTTTAACTCCTGGTCCAGTTCCTCTGGAAGTGCTGCCTGAATCCAAGGAAACAGCCTCAAGGAAGGGATTCCTCTGGCTGGCCCACTGCTCTGGTGTGGGAACGTCTCCTCCATGGAGACCAAACCCCCCCCCCCCTTCCCTCGGGTCTGGAATTCCAGGGGATCTCCAGGTGAAGAGCTGCCTTTTCCCACGGGAAAACACTTGGAGCTGAAGCAGTTCGGGAATTTGGTTCCAGTCAAACACCCAGGAACGTTTGAAATCCAGCAGCAAAACGAGCCACTGGGTTCAGGAGGATGATGAAGGACAGATGCCAAGTGACTCTGCTTTTTTTTTCCCTTTCCCAAGGATTCCCAACATTTAATTCAGCCTCAACCAGGATCCTTCCAGCCCCTGTTTGCCATCCAGCCACGAAGCCAAGAGGGAATCCTGGGATTCCCTCAGCTCTTCCAGCTCATTCCCTGGAGGCTGCCCCAAAACCTGGCTGCCAGAATTCCATGGCATCCCTTCTCCCAAGGAAATTATCAGCAGAGTGGACTGGGATGATCAGCTGGAAAACGAAGCTGGATGGGAATGGTTTCCACGTGAGACCTCCCATCCCACCACAAAGCTCGGAGTGGGGCTGGGGGAGTTTTAAAAGAGGAGATTCCCCCTGGCTCCAGGGAATTCAGGGGTTGGGAATGTTCTCCCTGCCCTGTGCTCCGGGGGCCCTCGTTCCTGGGAGCCTTTCCCGCCCCACTGACCTGGAGGGAGGGTTTCCCAGCAGGAACACTCTGTGGTCCCCGCACCAAGGGCGGAGGGGTGACAGCACTCCCAGAGGAACCAGCGGGCTGGAAGAGGAAAAACCAGAGAGAAAAAGCAGAGGAATAAGGGTGGAAGCAGGAATTACAGCAGGGAAGAGGGGAAGAGAGTTCATCTCCAGCACGAGAATCCTCCAAGACTCCACCTGTCCCCCCTCCCACAGCCCCTCTGCTCCTCCCAGCGCTCCACAGGGAATTAGGGAAGGAGGGATGAGGCTGGAGCAGGAAAATCATGAGTTTTTCCAGCAAGGGGGAGCTGTGGCTCAGCTGGGCCAGCCCAGAGCCCACCTCAGCCCTCCCCACCCGCTCCCACGGGATCCAGCACAGGGAAAAGTGGGAAGGAGCTCGGGAAGAAGCCTCTGGAAGTGAAGGAGTTCAGGATCTGCCTCCCCCTGCTCGGTTCAAACCCCCACAGCTCCTCGCTCGGGGTTCAGGGATGCAGGTCCTTGGCTCTGGTTTTAATCCCACCTCCTGAAGCACTTGGAATTCCGGGAGAAGGTGCCAATAACCCGCCCAGAGCAGCGCCAGGAGCTGCCTCCCCACCCCCCTCCCACTCCCAAAATTCCCCCCTCCGGCAGCCACACGGAACGGGGTCGTTGCCATTGTTACAGGGAACTGGAATTCAGGCTCGGGAGCAGCGTGGGGGGTTCCCACCCCCTCACATCCCAAATTCCTCTGCTCCTCTCCTGCCACCTCCACCTCCAGCGGGGAGCAGCCCAGGGAAAAAAAGCTCTGCCAAAAAAACCCCCACAGCCTTTTTCCTGGGATGGTTTGTGCTGCAAAGAGCTCCCCCCACAAACCCCAACCCCCCGGGATGTGTGGGATGGGGAGAGGGAAGAGGAGGATGGGAAAAGGGAATCGGGGTGGGAAGGCTGAGCCTTTCCTGCCTGGATTGCTCTGGGGGATGTGCAGCTCAGAGCAGACTCACTTGTGGGAGACCTGGGATCCAAACCTGGGATCCAGAGCTGGGATCCAGAGCTGGGATCCAAACCTGGAATCCAAACCTGGGATCCAGAGCTGGAATCCAAACCTGGGATCCAAACCTGGGATCCAAACCTGGGATCCAGAGCTGGAATCCAAACCTGGGATCCAGAGCTGGAATCCAAACCTGGGATCCAGAGCTGGAATCCAAACCTGGGATCCAAACCTGGGATCCAGAGCTGGAATCCAAACCTGGAATCCAAACCTGGAATCCAAACCTGGGATCCAGACCTGGGATCTGCCACCAGCTCCCACAGCCTGGGGTTCAAACTCTGGGATTCCCTGTCACTTCCAAGGATCTCCTTGGAGTTATCCCAGCAATCTCTACACGCCCCATCCCTGGGAGTGTCCCAGGCCAGGCTGGACAGGGCTTGGGAAGAGCTTTAAGGCCCCTTCCCACCCAAACCATTCCATGATTAAGGACTGGAGTGTTTGTTCCATGTCCCACAGGGAATGGCAACTGCCCCAGTTATTGAACCCCCTCCCCTCCGTTTCCAGAGGTGGGATAAGCAGGAAAATCCCACCTTCTGAGCCGTGGTCTCCTTCTGGATTTGACTTTGCCGTAACTTTTTCAACAAGACGAGTTTTGCCTCTTCCAACCGAAGCTCTTCCTTGAGCTGCTTGATCATCCTCTCCCGCTCCTCGGGGCTGCTCTTCTGCAGGGAAGGGAAGGGAAACAGGGAGTGGGAAGAGGGAAAAGCCAGAAAACCACCCAGGTTCCACTAAGGACTCCCAGCATTGTCACTGTCACCTGTGTCTCAGCGGGGAAAAGACCCCCCACCCAATATTTTAAATATTTGAGTATTTAAAAAACGTTTTCAGGGGCAAAAGAAGTGAAAAAGGCTAAAGGAAAGGGAAGGGATGGGAAACAGGGAGTAGGGAGAGGGAAAAGCCAGATAACCACCCAAGTTTCACTAAGAACTCCCAGCATTGTCA